AGAAAAGTCATCAGGTTGTTGCCAGGTTTCAGTTAAGCAGAAAAAGTCAAACTTACAGTCAGATAGGAGGTCTTGGGTGAGAGGTCCCTTACTTATCAATGAACAAATGTTTAGAAGACCGAAGTTGAGTGGAGTTGCTTCACTTTTGTCTCTATAAACTCAGTGAACAGTGAACTTAAATTAAAATAAGCAGATCAATACATGCACAATCAAAGAGTCATCTTTTTTTTTGTTTTCCAAGTCGTTCAGAAAGTCTGTAAAGATTTTTTTACACTAAAGCAGAAAGAATTGAGGCAAAAATGGAGGGACACAGTGTGCTTTGTTTTTTTTTTTGAAGAAGTCATCACACATTTTGTAACGGCACTGAGTGACTCTGTGTGCTCCTCTTTAGCCTTATCCCAAACGCACAGCATGTAAACAACGGAGGGGGGAGTGAATCACCAATGGAAGAAACGGTGCTGCAGACTGTGGATGGAGAGAGGCAGAGGGAGACGGAAACCAGAGAGCTTGATGTCGTTGACGGGAAAGCTGAAGACCTAAACATCCACCACAAGAGGGCAGCAGACAAACACAAGTACAGCACAATCGGCTATCAGGCAAGTGGAGTGGGACAGAATTGTAAGGATGGGGCAAGCCTACTGTTCTGGCACCAGTGGGGGAAATTAAGTAGATTTACTTGAGTACTTTAATTAAGGTAATTTTCTTGTATATGTTTATAGGCTGAAACCCATTATTCCTTTTTTGTTTTGCAGCTTATTGACTTATTCTGGACAACTTAGTATTTAAAACTAGTTGAAGTATTTTTCATACATTATACTGATTTTTATAGAGATCAACACTTTATGCAACTTAAATATTAAAAATATGACATTATGAAAATTATAAATTGGCACTTGAAGTACTCTTACTTTGACTATTTAAATATTTCATTGATAAAAATCCCAGTACTTTCACTAAGATGTCAAAAACCTTGACTTGTAAAATACTTCTTCTGTACCGAAGTACCGTGCATTAAGTTTAGATTCAGTTCTAGGTGTGTTACACTGTTTCAGTTCATTTATTTTCATTGCAATCCTCTCTTGTGCATACATGCTCACATGTCCCGCTGCATTTTTGTGCTTCCAGAGGCGAACGAAGCAAAAGGTCGTGGATGACTTTGCAACTCTGAGTAAAGGAACTTCTGCAGGAGCCAAACCCAGAACTGCACTCAAACAAGTCCTGTTCAGCCAGGGAGTGTCTGACAAAGCGTCTGAGGTATTGTGCTGTGCTCATCAAACTACATGCTGGTTTTCTAAGGAACAGATACAGACTTGCTGTAAAGGCAACCGCCCACTCAAACGCCCAAATTTACAGCAGCAGTGCAGTTCATTCTGTTCCACTGTCATACTTTTAGATGTAACCTGTGGCCAAAACTAACATCTATTTCTATTAAGGAAGGACTGATTCAGTAGAGCGTCATATTTTCCCCTCATTTCCCTGCCTGATTATTTTCTTCTTCTTTGTTATTTATTCATTCTCATGGTTTATAACAACTTCCCAGGAGCGAAGTCAACTGGATGGGTTGAAGCAAGTCCTGGAGGCCTTCTCTCTGTCAGAGGATCTCAGGTGGAGATGGAACGAGGAAAGTCAGGGAACCACGCTGGAGACGAGCTGGACAGATATAGTGCAGTCTCATTCAGTACGGGCCCTATCGTTATATGCATATATTTCTTTTTCTTACTGCCAACAAATCAAATTAAAAGAACAAAACAGATCAATTCATTGGCCAAGGCCTGACATCCTGTAGTTTATTCTTATGTGGTCTAAATGCGCTGAAGTCCACAAATTGTTTATTTCAATAAACCATACTATTGTACATGCTTCTTATGCACTGCCTTTTTAGGAAATAAAAGCACATTTTTCTGGCAGGAACAATTGAGCTTGTGTCCTGTGTGAACTGTTGGCTGTGGGGGCGGGCAAACAGTAATAGAGGAACTGATACTCTGTTGGTCTTATTCTGGCTGTGGGACTCGTTGATGACAATAATCATTACACAATATGGACATTTGACATTCTTTCTGATGACCCTGACATTTCTTCTGCTTCCTCTTTTCAGACAATGTCAAAAATGCAGAGACACCAGCAGGAGGCGCTGTGGGAGTTTGTCTATACTGAACTCACCTTCATCAACAAGCTGCTTATTATAAAAGACGTAAGATGTCACTCTCTAGCTGCTTACAGTCAGTTACATTAAAGTTTCAGAGCGCAAAAGGGAGTTTCAACAGGATGTATAACAAAGCTGTGTCTGCCTCCCACAGTTGGTTATTGCGGCTCTTGTCCAATTGCACCAAAAAGGATTTCTCCAGGAGGTCAGTGTGCAAAGCATGCATTATCATTTAAATACTAAAAACACAACAGTTTGCTGCACAGTCACTTCACCTGCAGGACTTTTTTTCCGCTGTTCTGCTTACCACTGACATAGATTGATTAACAACGAGAACATCCGCTTAAGATGAGGCAAAATACAACTCGAGTGCAAGTGGAACATGTAGCACAACAACACATTTCCACTGAGAAGTCGGAAAATATAGCAAAGCAGGGGAGTTAAACACATGTTTTTATTTTTGTCGCACTTCCTGTTTTAAAAGGTGACCCCCGAGCAGCTTTTCTCCAACCTCCCCTCCATCCTCGAAGAACATCAGCAGTTCTGGCAGGAGGTGGTTTATCCGATGTTACAGGAAGCGCGAAAAACGGGCAATCCCTTTGACCCCATGAGGTTAGACCCTGGATGCCTCCAGGTAAGTTCCCCTGCCCCTGCCCCCCACTGTCTGAATGATACTGTACGTGCAGACAGTTTATATTACCGGTCAGTTATAGAGTCTCCCCCCTTCATTTGCACCTCTTACATCATGCTTTACCTCTATGTGGGTACAGGTTTTGTTTCCATATGAGTTTGCTTTTCTGCACGTTGTTTTGGAACAAAACATCCTCCAGATGTATGACATATAAGTACATTTACTCACGTACAATGAAGTAATACATAAAAGTAGTCTTGCATGTGGAAACACTTGGGATATGTTTATATATTCTGCCATTTTTCTAGACCTACTTGTGTAAATTTATGTGCATATTGTTTTAGGACAAAGACACAGTTTTTGTGGTTTTCCCTCTGTACACCATCACAGTGGATTTTAAATGAAGCAGTTAAGATGCAATTGAAGAGCAGACTCTGAGCTTTAATTTATGGGTTTTGCAAAAACTTTGCATAAACTCTTTGGGGCATTACAGACATTTGTATACAAAGTCCTCCATTTTTACAAACTTGTAAAAATGCACACCTGACTGATGGACAGTTTTATGGCCAGCTGATATCTGTTGGCTTGTTCTTTCATGGCAAATGAACCAGACACAATTTTTGAAGTGCTGGGTTTTTGTTTTAAAGCTTTTCAAAGTAATTTTAAATATAAGGCCCAAAGTTGACAGTGCAAGTGAGGGAGGCTGTCATTCGGCTGAAAACCCCACACAAACTTATCAGAGAGACAGTACAAACAGTAGACCGGAAAGACCACAGAAGAAAATGGCAAAGTGCATGATGACAGAATTATTTCCACAGTTAAGACAACAACTAACTGAGTCAAGGACATAGTATGAGGGTGGGGAGTTTGTAAAGTGGGTGGGGGGGTAAGTGAAGTGGGTAAGGGGGGATATCATTATAAAGATCTACGCCTTCTTGAACAGTAAACAGGTTTATAACCAGATGCAAACCGCTGGTTACGTGCAAGAACAGGAAGGACAAATTAGACTGCTCCAGAAAGCATCGAAAGTCAAAGAGGTGTCGATGCAAGTGAGGGAGGTCATCACTGGACTGAAAAAGAAAAGAAAAGCAAGACAGATAAATAAACCAATAATTAAAGAAGGTACAGTCTTAAAAATAAAGACTATGTGAACCAGCTCAGCTCAACTAACTAATAACTAAAGTGCATGATGACAAGGTTATTATCTTATAATGCTCATTTTTATATTATTACTGTATATTATTATTAGTGACTTACTACAGCAAGGTGCAAACCGCTGGGTATACTGAAGAACAAGGTAGCCAGATTAAACAGTACTTAGCATTCATCCATATGTTGTAAAATTGATCAGACTGCAAAAGGATGAGGACTAAAAAAAGCAACCCGAGGGTTTCTCAAAGCAAAGAAATGCGATATTCTGAAATGGTCAAGTCAGTCACCAGGTCTCAACCTGAAACAGCAGCTTTTACAGTTACTGTAGATAAAACTGAGCATGGCGGCACTAAAGGATTTTCAACCAAGTATCCAAGTCTGCACTTCAATCACATGTTTATTATTTGATTAATAATTCACAGCGGTCGTGTACAGAGGCAAAACTGCAAAGAAATTGTGTCTTTGTCCAACAAACTATGGGCCTAACTGTTCCTGCAACAGGGAAATTTGAAGCTCTTCATGTGCGTCGTAATGGAGCAAAGTGAAGTATCAAAGGGTTAAAAAGGCATATTTAACTAGATGGCGGCGTTAAAGCTAGTGCTAACCTCTGCATCGTTAATAATAATGCTAAACATACTGATGTGACTTTATGGGGACTTATCCTTTTCTTTTTTCCCCCAGTTTCATAAACGCTTCTCTTCCTATCATGAATACTGCTGGAAGGAGGAAGACAATCTTGAATTCTCGCGCAGGCAGATGGAGAACAACCTACATTTCTCCACTTACGTCCAGGTACAGTGAAGCAGCAGTAACATCCATATACAGCCTGTGCATGCATTCTATACATCTGAAGATCAAAGAATTGCTCTCCCACACTAACCCAGTTATTATTTCAATGTAATTCATTTTAATGACTGACTAAAAGTTCAGTTGCTATTGGTTGTGTTTTGTGGTTTGTAATGTTTTCATAAGTTTGTGGGCGACTTCTTAGAGCTGCTTCCTGACGGGCACCAACGTCTTCTCCAAATGATTCAGCCTTAACAGCGGTGTGAAAGATATCTAGTTCACAAAGATTTGTGCAGAAGATTTATGGGAAAAGAGGCTGCAAGAAGAGCGTGACCTACAACACCTCTTACATATTTGGCTAACAGGCAAAAGATCCTCACTTTGTCCCTGAGAGAAGAAGCGAAATCCTTGTGGGGATGGTCACGTCTGGTGTCGAAAAAAAAAATCAGAATCATCACAAACATCGCTGTGACGAGTCAGAAAGTACCTTTAGATGAACATAATCATATTTAAACTAAAACCAGTTCTATATTTGTAGATATTTCCAGCAGAGTCAGCTAGTGCTACCTTGTGTTTAACAGTTAAAGCCTTCCTTTACCAAGAACTGGCGCTTACTGGGCAATGAGGGTGTGGCTGTTAAAACAAAAATAACTCATTTAAGGTTTTTTTCTTTTTCCAGTTATAGTTTCATTCAGAAGGTTTTAGAGGTGGTTCTGTTATCAGTCACCGAGTCTTCTGGCAGTTCATTGATAAAATTATAGAGAAATCAAAGACTTCTGTGAATTGTCTTCACCTTCTTGTTTAATCACTGTGAAGTCGATGATTTTATCAAATATATAATTAGTGCATTCGTTAGATAAAGACAGTTTTTTTTTTCAATTCTGTCTCTCCACATCACCACAGTGGGTTTTTAATCAAACAATCAATATGTGATTGAAGTGACTTTCTTTGAATCTGCTCCTTCCATCGGTTACTCATGTGTGTACTCATCGGTACAGCAGGACTTGCTGTAATTCAAAGGGACATCATTAAATGCTGTTTCCCTGAGATGCTCTGCCAGGCCTTCAGTGAAGCAAAATTCAGTTGCTGCTGTTTGTGGTTTTCTTTTTTCCGCCTTCAGTTTTATCTTTAGTAACTGAAAAGCTGCTCTGTTTGATGTGACTGACTTGACCATTGCAAAACGTGTCGTGTCTTTGCCTTGAGAAACTCTTGGACTGCTTTTGCAGTTTGCTTCGGGTCACTATCCATTTGCACTGTGAAGCCCTGCCCGATCGGTTTTGTAGCATTCGGATAAGTCTGATATATGTAGTATATGTAGTTTTATGGAAAAATCTAATCTGTCCTTCCTGCTCTTGAGCGTACCCAGTGGTTTGCGCATTGTTGTAAACCTGCTATATTTGCACTCATGGAGGCGTCTGTTGATTGTAGATGTTGATAATGATGTTGTTGTTGTAGATGATAGATGTAGATGTTGTAGATGTTGATAATGATGCACCCACCTCCTTGACAATGTTTATGACCTGATTAGTTGCTGTGTTGTTGTTGGTCTTGTTTGACTTAAACGTGGAAATAATTCTGTCACAATGTCTTGTGCGACATCTGTTTCACTTTCCCTGACATCTCTTTGGGCCTCGTATTCAAAATTACTGGGAACTTTGAATCACTTGCAGATATTATGACTGCTTCATTGTCAAGAAATAACAAACAGACCATGAAACTGTTTGTCACTTTGTCTAGATGCGTAAAGAAAGTTTTTCTAAATTGCTGAATAATTAATTTTTTTTCTTGAACCCACTGAATTGAAGTTGAATGCCTGCTGTTTAGTCACGCTGTTGTGGTGTACAGAGGCAAAACTACACAAATTGTGCATTATTCCAATGAGTCTTGAACTTAACTGGATAGTTTTAAGAAACCTGGTTGTCAGGCTATCAGTTTTATTTTAAAAGCATCAAGTTGAGTTCATATTCTTGTGGGGTTTTTTTGTCCTCTCCAGTGGGTAGAGAATCATCCTCAGGGCAATCGGATGCGTCTTGGAGACATGCAGGCCAAACCCCATCAGAGGATCACAAAGTATCCCCTGCTGCTCAAAGCTGTGCTCAAACACACTCAGGACCCTCATGTGGAGCACACACTCAGAGGCATGGTGAGGATTAGATACCTTTAAATAAAATCCTTTTAAATTCACCACAGAATGTTTTTCCCTTTATAGATGCAATATGCGAGTCATTGCATCACACTGGCCTCCTTTGTCTGTTCCCCTGTACAGTTGTTCAGTGTAAAGAAATTTTTGGAAGGTATCAATGACTACCTGCGACTAAAAGATGAGCAACACGCACTCAACATCTCTGCTCAGAGGTTTGATGGGTATGAGGTGGATGGACTAAATGAGGAAATTGACAGGGTAAAACACATCTTTGTCATCATTTTGTCACTTGTTTCTGTTCTTTGGAGTTATTTTGTAGCCTATGGATTGACCTTTCAACAAAGGATAAAGAGACTTACTTCATTCTTAAGCCCAGAGGACATTCTGTGTTGAAAGTGTACTTTTGTTTTACTGCAGTCTACACAGTGCATTATACATAAAAAGTGCATTGATGTTTGTGTGGCTTGAAATCTGGAGAAGAGAAAAAGTTGAATTCAAAGATGCGAGAGCTTAGATGTCACATCTGTGTTTACTTTGTTTTGTGGATGTAAAGCACGAAGTGCTGTAATGACTAGGTTCTGTGGGCACTGAGTTTATTGTTGTGGTTTTCTAAATGGTGGGATTCACACAAGAGTGGGTTACATATTGGTGAGATGCAGCAGGTCAGTGTTGAGTTTATAATCACTAGAGCGTGTAATGTAGTGAACAGGAAACTCAAAAAGATATTACCTCTATTCTTTTGAAATGCTACTGATATTTACATGGAGTTGATTTCATTGACAGCATGTCCGAGAGATCTGCAAGTTTGACCTAACGTGCCCCATCAAAGGTGTAGGTTCTGAAGTTGTACGCAAGCTGCTGCGTGAGGAGAGCTTGAAGGTTCGAGGCAGGAAAGACAGTAAAGTGAGCAAAAACTGTGCACTTAATTATTATGATTTTAATTTGCGTTCCTCAAAACTACTACAAATTACTTTGTATTTATTAATTTTTCTTGGTATGATGTAGCTGGAGTTGGTGGCTCTGCTTTTCTCAGATGTGCTTCTACTCACCAAAGTCCAGAAGAAAACAGAGCGGCTGAAGGTGGTTCGACCTCCTCTGGCCCTCGACAGGATGTACTGCATACCACTGAAAGATGGCTGTGTGTAGCACTTTCTTTTAGACTAGAGTCGAGACACTTGGATGCAGCTTAATTATTATAAAAAGAACAATCTAACTGTCTGTCTGCTTCTCTCAGATTCATTTCTCCTTGTGGAGGTAGGTGAGCTTCAGAGCGCTATGAATGTCGTCATACTTGTCGCCAGCACCTCAGAGAATTGCTCCATATGGGTGTCCACCATCCACCAAGCGAAGGTAACAGAAAATAAAATAAAATATTAGAAATTTTGAAATCTTTGTAGTCTGGCTTAAACCTTATCTGTAAGAGCACCATACCCTTTGCTATGAGAATGACAGTGTCAGGTTTTGGTTTAGACCCCACGTAGTTGACAGAACTTTAAAAGTATCTTCTTATTGCAGTCATTCAGTGTTACAGTGTTGCTATTTTAACACTGATATAAATAAGACACAAGCTCAGTGACCTATTTTCAGTCATGACTCTGGATAGTCATGTTTTGGAATCTTTTTTTAAATTCCTCCAGAAAAATATTTAATTCTGCCAGATTTCCAGAAGTGAGAGCAACTCCATCCCTGGCCTTGTTAGCAGAGAAACCCATATCAATTTTGGACACTACTCAGGCAGCCAGCTGTTTAAGGAAAACTAAACATGTCACTACTGGTCCAATTGGGGAGGGGACCAGAACAGCTCAGCTGCTGTACACTGAGGATAAATGGAAGGTTGGATTAAAGTTACTTTGTCGTTACCTGTTATAGCAGAAAGCTGCAAGAATGCATGCCTACTTTTTACTGTCCTGCTTTGCATAATTTTCCATCTTCTCAGTGGAAATGTATCATTGTGCACTTGAGTTATGTTTTGTCTCAGCTTAAGCGGATGTTCTTGTTGTTAGCCAGTCTATGTCAGTGGTATGTAGAGCAGTGGAAAAAGGCCGGCATGTGAAGTGACTGTGCAGCACATTGTTGTGTTTTTAGTGCCTTCTAATATATTTTGAACTAAATCTCAGTTATCAGACTATCTGCAAAGTTGGCTCCAAAAATTAAAAATATGCATATATATATAACAAAATTATTTTTTCAGTTTCAGTTCAGAGTCCGATCCTGAACCTCCTGAATTTGGCTCTGGCTGAAATTTGTGTTGATGTGATATTTTCACTGATATATCCACGGATATTTTCATTTTTGTTGCACAACTTGTCATATTTGGTCTATCTAGTTTTTTGATTAAAAAAAAAAAATCATTTTAAGTCCTGCAAAAGACTTTACAAGACTGCCTGATTTTTTTGTACTGCCCCAAACGGGGAGATTTGTCCCAAACTGCAGATCCTGGTTAAATTTTATCTTGAGAAAGTTCAGTAAAAGAAATTAAGAATTTAAAATAGGCTTTGATCTTCAAAGGTGCCTTTTCAGTACCCGTCCACAATTCAATCCAGTTTCATAAAACATCTAAAACATAGTATTGACATAGTATTTCTAGTAGAACTTGGGGTACTTCATGTAAAAATGAATGGCAGATAGAATCTGTGGGCTGCATTTGCAAACCATTTATTAATTTCATGTCGTAGCTCCTTCGTGTGACGGCAGTACTTTCAACTTTTTGGTGGAAATGTGTGGAACCAGTAGATGGTAAATGGGTGTTTTTATGTGTGAACCAGTTGAGTCACATTTTTTTTCTTTGGATGATTTGTTAGGAAACACTGAGGCAGTTGAGAGAGGCAGAGCACAACAGACAGGAGACAGAGACAAACCAGCAAAATGAAAACCCAGAAGCAATGACAGACGATGTGGAGACAGAAGAACAACCTGTTGCACAGCCAGGAATGGAGACCTCAATGGACGAATCCACTGATGATACTTTTATCTCTAACTCGATAAATGGGTTGGCAGAGCCAGAACCGTATCAATCTCCAGATGAGATGACCACTAATAAAACTGAGTTACCTTTCTGGTGCACAGAGCCCAATAACACTGAGGACAAAATCGGGAGCAGGAGGCGTTCACCAGCTTTCAGGGGACATGAATGGATAGAATTGGGAGTGAGGTATGATCAAAGTGGAACCCAGGGGGAGGATGAAGATAGAATTGTTGAATCTCAGATTACAGAGGAGCAGAGCATGACTTTGAGACAGTCTTTCCCTCCTCAGGATTCTCTCACAAGTGCTGCACTGCCATTTAAACATAACACTGTAAGAACATACAGATTTTTACCAGGTGAACTCCCAGATGTTGACTACCCAACAAATGAAGATGACACTTTACAATCTAATTATCAACCGATAATAATGAAGGGACCTGAGTTTTTAAGACAGCAAGAAATATTAACAAGAAAAGACTCAGATTCCCTCTCCGTGAACCAGGACACAGGGAGAAATTCCAGTGGCAGTCTGTTTGGAGACACTAAGACACCTCAACAGGCGTGGGTCTCCAGAAATATAAAGTCAACTGGGATACAACGGAGGAGACCAGTAAGCACAAATCCAGTCACTTTTCGCACATCTAAGGAGTTTTTTCAGAGTTTGGAACAAACTGGGGCTGCTTCAAACAACTACTTTTCCTCTAATTTTGGCTCAGACTACAACCCAAAGCTGAAAAGAAACTCTCTTCCTACCTACATGCCCTACCAATCTAATCCACAGCAGACACTCAAACTGGGCACCCTAAAGTCAAACCCAGACACGTTTTGGAACGATAGAGTCTTTTCTGATCCCCAAGCCTTCTCTGAATCTGAGCTGCCTGACAGGGAGTTTGAAAACAAAAAGCCCAAAATAAAAACCCACAGAAGTTCTTCTGTTTCCAACATGAAACCAAAAGGAAAAGCCAGATTTCGCCCCATTAGCTTACACACGTCACCCCAAGCAGACGATGAACATTCCTCACGACTGGAGGGCCTTTTAGAAAGAGCAAAAGACAGAGACAGGGGGAGAGGAGGATTTAAAAAAGACAGAAATTTAAAAACAACAAATCTGAGGTCAAGAGACCGTTCTCCTTCTCCCTCATTTTCTGCCACATCTTCGCCGTCACGCAGTGATGGAGACAGAGACACAGACTTGGAGGAAGTGGAAGTAGCAAGACCCAAGGCCCTCAGCGTGAGTCAAGGATGGAAGGAGCAGCTGGTAGATGGAGATGAAGATGAGCAGGTGAACAGGTCAGTATATGGCAGTGATAAGTTCCCTTTGTTTTCATTCTTATTCACGTTTTATTTAAAAGGGACCTTTTATCCTTCTCCTTATTTTCTGTCATTTATCTAATCCCCGCAAATGAAAAGCTCAGGCTTTTGTTTTGCTCTAAATGTTCGTTTCAACCTACGAATGACGTCAAAGAGGGGCCATATCCCTAATATGGTCTTCTCAGGCACACTGCAGTGACTGTAAGAGCATGCACCCCACCCACCTGCTGTTCAGAAAACTTTTATTTTTTAGAGGCGTTAATGAGAAGAAAGCTGGCTTATTTCAGCCTGAGGCTGCAACAAGGCCCAGTACAAGATAAATAAGGCCTATTTTGAACTGTGAATCATGCAAAGCTACTCTAGTAGAGTCCGAGAATAAACACAGAGCTGTAAACGAGCACTACCAGGACTACTTAACATTTAAAAACAAGTGATTACTGCCAGGCAAGTGATTTTCATCCTCTAAGAATAAAGACATAAGGAATACATGTAAAACAACAGCCCTGAACATTTACTGTCACACACAGACAACAATCAGAGAAAACATGCACCTATCATATCAACTCAAAAGATTTACACATTACATATTTTATCTTTAGATCGTTATGGGTATAAAAGCTTTCCTCAGAATAGCTGAGTTATCAAGATGAAACAGAGCAAATTGAGCCTTAAAAGCCACAGTTTTCCATAACGTTCAAAGAAGATTTGTTACATTAAAATTTCCATTGACATTTGAAGTCACTTGTGGTATTACAGTATTTGTATCTTCATAATGCCTTGCATTGCTGCTGATTTCTGCTGCATACTGCACTTACCACAGTAAAGACCACAGTGGGGTCGGGTGGGATGCTTTCTCTCATGTGCCCCACATACTGACAGACTGAGTTGAAGCAAATAGTTTACGCTGTAGTGCAGATCAGACATTTAACTAAAAAAACTCACTGACTTAAAATAGTGGACAGAGTTAGCACGCATCACTTTTAAATATATCTTTAAGCCCATCAAGCTTCTAATCTTTAAATGAGTTTTCAGTGAGGTGTAGGCTGGTAACAAATAGACCGTTCTGTTACAGTGGAAACTTTACTGTCTCTAACCTCAATGTGCCATAAGCACGCTTAGGTTTTGATTAACATAATGAATAATAATGAAGCATTTTTTTTTTCTCACAAAACACTGAGAAAAAATTTTTTTTTCTTGTTTTAAAGTTAGTTTTTTATGCCGGAGTCAGCAGCACTCCTAAAATATTTTTTATTTACTTTTTTCTAAATTTAAATTTTGTTCTTTTGGTTAGTAAAAAGTATGTATAATTCCTCAATTATTGTTGGAACATTTATTCTAATTTAGTGCAATATTGAAAACTGTATACATAATCCTTATACATTATACATTATAACAGGTATTATGTAACATATAATATCTATATAATATGTATTGATATATCATTCTACAAGCTATAGAAAACAGAGATATAAGTACTGAAGTATAGAGTTACTTTTACTGTGTTTTTGTTTTTACTACTTTGAACCTCTTCTTCACTACGCCGTTAATTAAAATAGCCTCCTCTACATCAGTTTAGTAACATTAGTTGCAACTCTTCAGAGTCAAATTAGTAATATAAAATGTAATTTTAATCTTTTTATAGACTCACTTAACACTTTAAGCCTGTGTTTACACGCTTTACACTCGGAGTGATGTGCACCTTAATGCATCAATAAATATGTTGTACTAAAAGCAACATAATGGTAAACCTGGACATTCTGCATGTTTATCTTTAATGTTGTCACTGAAAGCACATTGCTTTATATATATGTGCTTATTAAAAATGCATCATCCAACTTGAGGTAGACTAAAAGCTCTTTAAGAGGTCACCTGATTGTGACCCGGTAAATGTTGAAAGAATGATGACCTTTGACCTTCTGTTTCCCCCTTTCAGTGTGTTTGCAGAAGGTGTAAATGTGGATTGGCCCGGCTGGTGCTTTGATGACGAAGAAGTTAATGATCATTTACGTCCTTCCACAAATGGTTTTCTGGAGGAAATCAACCAATCTTTGGCCTTGTGTGGTATCAGCGAACTGTCGGAGCAAGAAGATGGCAAGTGCAGCCAGGTGTAGCGCGGAAACGGCATTGCAGCTGTAGCCACAGAGTGGTTTCAGCACTAAACTGCCAGCCAGCTAGCTGAGGTCAGTCGCAGTGGGTTGGTTAAAAATTTAGTCTGTGAATCTTAATTTCAGAGCGATGAATTGACAAGGATGGTAGACTTGATTGAAGCAACGTAAGGAGGGAAAGGAGATTTACAAAAGATACTTCTTTGCACAAATATTTTATTTGTAGCACATCGGTCCTTACTGTCTGAATTTTGGACCATTAATTATTCTGAAGTGAATGTAAAATAGCGATAAATAGTAGTCAGTGTTTGGTTTATAGAGCTAGTGTTTGATGTAAATACTGAAACTTGTTTTCTAAGTTGCTGTGTATTTTATTTATATGAGCACCAATAGTTCTCTGCCACTGACCAACAATAATTCGACTGTGCATACGTGTAATAAACAAAAATAGATTTATTTCTGTTAAATGCTCTTTATTTGTCAAGCAGTTTGTTCTCAGTTTGTCATTTAAAAGCAAATGTAAATCGTCACACATACAACAGTTTAAAACATGCACAGCTGAAACACAGGATATAGTGCATTTCATTTTTGTTTGAATGAAACAGCATTGCTACAGTATCTGCTCTGAAAATATTTACAAAATCTGTGTAAACAAGAGTCTCTCAACATATTGCAGGCGGCAAGAGATTTTGCTTCAGTTTAGTGCTCTAAAATTCTTCCAGCGAGGCCTCGAATTTTATGTGTCCTTAGATTTTCTCCCGGTTCCTTTCTCTCTCCTCCCGCTCGTTGGAGATGGTATGAACAATGGTCTCCAGGGCGGGATACTGAAAGATCCTTTTCCTCTGTGGGGAAGAGATGTACAGCGTTATTTGAGGTAATCCCTACAGATATAATCTGTGAATGCACGCTTTCATATTTATTCTATGCGCTTTTTCAAAATTACGAATTTTGTTATTTTTACCCTTTGGCGGTTCTTGTACATCTGAGCCACAATGAGGAGCAGAACAATGAGGAGAAAGCTGAGGCCGAACACTGTGGCGGTGTTATTTGATGCGCTTGAGGATTTCTGTCCGCTCAGACCACCTGCAAAAATATAAAAAAAACATTTAAAAAAAAGGTTTTAATGTTCTTTATAGTTAATATTTATTTTTCAGCACAGCAGAAGTAGAAAAACACCAAAAATTAGAACTTACTCATCAGATGAGTATTGTATGTCACATTCCCCAAAAGGCCATCTTGCCCATAGAAACTACATGTCCATTCGCCCCAGCTCTCCTCTGACCCGTCGGTAATGATTATATCCTTCCCGTTCTGGATGGACCCAACAATCGCGGTGCCATTTTCATCGTAGGTCACATGAGCCCACTCGTATTTGGTGACCTCGCTTGCATCGCTCAGCTGGCAGGTCAGCGTCGTTGAGTATTTTTGCTTTAAGCGGACGACTGAGAAAAGAAACAAGAGAAATGATTTTATATCAAAAATACAAGTGCATTGAATTTTCCCTCAAACTGAAAGATCACAAACTTACTTTTAGCAACGACGAGCTGCAAAGTCCGAGTCAGCCTTTGCTGTTCTGCATTCCCACTACATCTGTACTTTCCTTCGTCCTCGTATGTGACCTCATTAATACGGATAGACCTATCCCAGCGGAGCCGATCAGGTGAGGACGAAGCCAAAGAAAGCAGTTGGAGATCGCGGGTGGATGGAGACACAGGATTGATTTTCTCCCAGCCTGCGCTCAAAGTTCTTAAACCAGAGGAAAACACACAGGGGAGAGTGACCGGAGACCCCACAGTAGCGTAAACCTTGGCGTTATCTTTGGGTGGTTGGATGATTCCTGTGCAGGAAAGAAAGAAAGAAAATTGTTAAGAGCACAAAATACTTTATTCAACAGCTTCATAAATCAGTTGTCCAGCTTAATATTTCACCTTTCACATCCAGAGCTGCTGAAGCTTGGCCCTTTTCTCCTTTGTACGTCATGACGCAGGTCCAGGTTCCGCTCTCTTTCTCGGTGACTCTTAAAACCCTTGAAACTTTGTCGCCATGCAGGCCGGTTTTAGCCTGAGGCAAATATGGGTTGTTGTTTAACATCCACTCCACAGAGACTCCATGACGCCAAGGTTTCAAAGCACAAGACAGTTGAGTGTTGGTCCCAGAGAGGGGAGCCGGTGGAGAAAAGGACACTGTAAATAAAGAAAGTGAGATTTCTGTCAATTTACAGTAAATACTACATATTACAGATGCTTAATATTTATTTTATTGGTCAAACTTTTATATCACAAATAAATATTACTTTTTTATATGGTAAAATGCTCTGTGGTCTTTTGTAATTAGTGAGTGTAGGCGTGCTCGATTAGTGCTTCTTACCTTTAATAAGTCTGAGCATGACCTGCTTTTCAATCACTTGGTTTCTAAGGTCCACTTTACAGGAATAAAGTCCAACATCTTCCTCTGTCACGCTGTTTATCTGAATGCTGAATGTGCCACTTTCAAGCTGTGGGTGGGGGCACTGCACACGTTGGGACCATCGAGAGCCGCGGTATTCCAGACCATTCCGTTCCTTCCTCCAAATAGTGCTGTACATGAAGGGGAATCACAACAATCCAGAGTCATCAGCATATAGATACAAGTCTTTCATTAGTGAATGAGGAAGGAGTTTGTTGTTGTTTAAGGGGTTAGAGCTGGTTAATCTGCATATGAAAAGTGAAAGAGAATAGCAAAAATATAAAAAAAAAGAAGTTTCATCTTACCCTTTCTCCTTATGACTCCAGACAATCGCAGGTTGACTGCTGATCAGTATTGCAGGGTATTTACAGGGTAGTACAACATCTGAGCCTTCTGCAGCAAATACTTCACTGTGCATCTCCTCACATCTGGCTCCTGTGTGAAGAAAAACATGAAATTAACTTCAAATTTTTCAAAAATTACATTTTAGCGCAGATTTGCTTTTGAGTTGATCGCACAGTTACCTGTTATAAGAATGGAAACCATCCCAAAGATAAAAAAATCCAACAAGTTTGTTTTGTTCATTTTGGTTTTGTATCCACAAACTCTTAAACTCTGCCTTTCTCTTCAAGCGCTGCCTTTTCTGGTATGTTTTTGCGATGTGGGTTGAAGAGGTTTATATATCAGCCCGTGGGAAGGTACCGAAGGCAGGGTGTCTGGTAGTTCCTCTGCTGATCATGTGACTTCAGCTACACGCCAAGCGTTCTTGCGGTCTTTCTTTGTCAGCCTGGAAACTATAAGACAGAGATGTAAACAGGGAGCCCCACTTCCTCCCACGGATTCTCTCTAATGTATTTCCTGTTTCTTTTGCGTCAATCACTCTGTAAAAGTATGTTCGATTATTGAATTTCTAAACCAACAAATACACAAGAAACATACAGTATGAAACCATGGACAGTAAGATATCCATGTGTTTGTCAAGGACGAGTATGCTCAATTTTTTTGATGAATTTAGCAAATATGTGGAATATGTTTTTTATACCTCTAAAAGTCACTTATGTTACACAAACTTTGGGGACAAATAAACAATAATGTGTATATACAACATTTACTCCACAGCAAGTGTTTAGAATATCTTCAGCATCATTCACGGAAGCTCGAGTTGCTGTTTTGAAACCGAGATGGCAAAACTGCAACACCAAACTACTTGTCATGATCTCGTCACTGCCAGTTAGTTTTGTTTACAACCACTAGTTAGCTCCACTACTCACGATCATCATCATGATCATCATCATCTCCAGTTTGAGAATGAGGACATTTATGGTATCTTCTTGTGAAGGATATTCATGAAAGTGAATCATTCCCTCCATTCTCATTTTTTAGTCGCTCTCAGCTCAGTAGAAACGGGCCTACACTGCCAGACAAACACGTACCGTTTTAGCATATTCCATTCAATATCAAGATGAAATGCTCACAGGGAATACTGTCAGGTTAGAGGAAATACACCGATTACAGCTCTTCCCCTGAATCTCGTCAGAGGAGTTAGACACTTGTAGGAGATCATTAAGATAATGTGGAGGTGAGACGGGAAAGGGAATGTCTGCCTGCCTCACTGAATACTTCAGCCATCTGAGAAGTGATGCTGTTAAACAGGGCCTTGCTTTGACAAAGTGTGGTTTATATTTTTGTTCTGTTTGATATTGTGTGTAAATACATTTAGATGTACCACACAAAGAATTGCTGCTGCGGGTGTGGTGTCAGTAAAATGTCAGTATAATAAATATATACTGTCTGTTCATTTTACCTTTAGAACTATTTCTATGTGTTGTTTTTCACTCTGCTGTATAGTTAAATAATTACACATTTTCTGTTTAATTATTCACCACGTCAGTACATGACAACAGACAATACAGAATACAGGCTAGGCTCACATTAAACAAAGAAAATAGCACCAGGCATCAATCCACCTGTGTGCGAAGCTACCTGAATCTTCTTTTATTAACATCCAATACACTGTATTAAAGTACAGTGAAGATAGATAGATAGATAGATAGATAGATAGATAGATAGATAGATAGATAGATAGATA